AGAACGAGAGAGAGAGAGAGAGAGAGAGAGAGAGAGAGAGAGAGAGAGAGAGAGAGAGAGAGAGAGAGAGAGAGAGAGATGAGTAACAGCAATCTGAACTTAATGCATGATGCGTTACTTTCACAGTGAACACATTGATTACATGGCATGGTATCTCATGTCACAGTCATCCTTCTGCCTCCTGCTCAGATGACTATCCCAGCCACTTTCTTCAATTTACAGATGGAATGCACGTTGGATCGTAGAATCAGCTTGACTGACTCCTCTTCCTGTCCTCACCTCATCACTTGCGCAGATACCCTCCTACCTCATGCATCTCTTCCTGGATACATTCATCTGTTTCTACGTTTGCGACACCATTCTTTTAAAATGAAAACCAGTGAGAAATATAAGATCTCCGTCCCATTGTTTCGTCCACTGCTTCCCATCATATTTGCCTTCCCGGTACTTCGATAGTTGGCGTAGTATGTGAATCGAATCATGCCGTAAGTCAACTTCTCCGACATATAATCCCTTCGCTGTGGTGTCGTCTGGACATTGGTCCTCTTAGTGCCATGTTTGCTTGTTGAAATGCAGACGGTACATCCTTCTCGCAGTTGATATACAATCGTTCATCTATGGTACGATATGATGTTGAGACTACCGTACCTTGAATTCCATCGGCTGTCCCGCACCGTGTTTGCTCGACTACCATTCCCGCAATAATGTATATATATTATATTCCCTCCGTCGTGCTGCTTGGACTACTGTCCATGCCAGTATGCGTCACTCCGTTACCCTGCTTGCTAGAATGTCAATGATATCTCCCTTTTGGCCCGATCGTATGTCCGTAGTTCCCTCCACGACATATGATGTTTTAGTAGTTTTACCCGTTCTGATCTACTCATGCGGTCAATGATCAATCCCTTTACTTCATAGTTTTAAGGTACTCTGCCTGTTCAGTCCCGTCTTTCCATCCATCCCGTTGTGATGCAGTGAGCGAATCTTGGTCATTTTTTGCTGTTACAGTTTTATAGATTTAAATATTCCTGTCTAAATTTTCATAGTTTGGTGAGCTTCTCCATGTTCATAGTTTCGGATGAAGGCATTTACTGATGTCAGTATGATTCTACTAGGATATTTTGGCTGCTTGAGTTCAGCACAAAATAGCTCTAAGATGTGTGGGAAATCGTGATGGTCATACGTATTTGCTAATTTTGCTACCGTGCGATGAAATGTACCCAGAATCATCAGTACTTCCATTCTTTCAGAACCCCGACTCCCGAAATGCCACATTGTCCGCACACACACACACACACACACACACACACACACACACACACACAGAGAGAGAGAGAGAGAGAGAGAGAGAGAGAGAGAGAGAGCTTGGTACCCGTACACTTTTTGCATAGCTGCAGTGCCAGTGCGGTGGAGAACAGCGATCGGGAGTGGTTGGTGAACCTGGTTTGTTGTTGTGAGTGTCGATTGTTTTCCTCAGAGGTCGCGTACCAGTCCACGAACGTGCCAGTAGCACCGCAGCCAGTAAAATAGTGATGCCAAGGTCCATGCTTGATGGCACACTGAAAGATGGTGATGATGAGGTTGCACCAGAATCAGCCCACTGCGTAGTGAAGAGACTCGATGGTGATTTCTGAAACATGGTGGTGGTGAGTCCTTTCGGGAGCAAGCACAGGTGCATGAGCCTCATCCTCCTAATGACCCCTGGGACCTGGGGCAATCATCGTCTGTGTTATTTTTTAACTTGTGAGAGATTAACCAGGCATGACACATGTCGCAAATAGACGAGTTGTATTATATGGAATTGTCTATGCATTGCTGTGAGCTTTTCAAGGTTTGTGAGTTCACAACTTCATAGGCCTCCAATTTCACCCGCATGCATGCTAACCATACTTGCAAGCGGACGCCGTCCGGGCGGTTCCGCACATGCGGCAGACCGCCAGACCGGACCCGCGCGGCGCACGAATGTGCGGCGACGACCAGTTACGCCCCACCCCCCAACCCCCCCCAAAAAAAAAACGGCCCCGTCCGGTCTGGTCCTGGTCCGTCCGGTCCGGGGGGAGGGTGCCGCATGCGGCAAAGCGGACCCGTCCGGTCCTTCTGCTTGCAAGTATGATGCTAACTGATGTCTGTGCGTTGATGTTTCTGTTTCCCGTTGCACCTTTGGCTATCATGACTACAATGAGGGGTTGACCTTTCTCATTTCGTTCCTTTCTCATTTCGTTCTGTTCATTTGCATTGCTCTCTACAGAGTGTCATTTATCACACGCTGAATGTGACAGATGCAAGCGGAAATCTGACTTCAGGCAAGACAAGCAGCCCCTGCCCAGGCAATGCCGACCTTGCACAAAAAGAGGTATCGGCTGCAGACAGGAGTCGTGGCCAAAGATGCGGAAGTACGGACGACACAGGAAGGACAATAGAGGAAGGAAAATCAATACCGCCTAGATTATACTGATGCGAATGAGCTTGGGCTCGCATGCCCACCTGCACTTGTTTGTGTCCATGTCGTACATTTGTGTGTGGTGTGCTGTGTCTTTGTATGTGTGTTTGTCCGTGTCTGTGCTTGTGAGTATGCATGTGTCTGTCTGTTCACGTGTGTGATATTCAGAGACCATTCATATGACCAATCTTGTTTTCACAGAACCTGTCCTGTACCTGTCAGTACTCTGTTTCCATTTTTATAATTTTTTACCCTACTGAAATGACTCGCTGATAGCGTACTTTTCTCAATCTCTGTCTCCAAGGCGGTACCGGTAGTGTCAGTGTCATGTCTCTGTGCAATTTGTTCTTGTATGCAATGTGCCTTCCTCATGACCCGGCAGAACAGGTTTTGCGGGGTGAAAAATTCCAGAGTTTATGCAATGTATGCCCAGCGTTTCCAGAATCACCTGTTGCACTATAGTCCAGGCAAATGTTTATTGCCGACAATCTCATTGTGTGGCTTCGGGTAAAGTTTTGCATTTCATTTCTAGGCTGGGCCCTCACCCGGCCAGGCATGCCCGGGCCAGTCATGCCGTGGGCAGCTGGGCCGGGTAAGATCGCCCGGCAAAACCAGGCAGGTCAAAAAAGAGGGAAGGATCACCCAGAAAAAGAAACTGACTTCAGGCCAGCGCTGGGCCTGACCAGTCAGAATCCGGCTGTACCCTCCATTTCGGTGGTGGGCCACTCAGGGGTGTTTGGGGGGTATAAAGTTACTCGAAACAGTGACTAGAGGGGTTTAAAAGGGTATATCTTACCTCATTTCTCCTCATTTATTTTTATCTTAAAATTAATAAGGAATTTCGAGAGAACCCTCAGCCAAAAATTGCTTGTACTGCAATTTTACACAACATATTTTGTTTCCAGACTTCTTTTGCATTTTTTGAATGTTTGATTTTTTTTAATATTATGCGCTGGGGCTGCCTGGGACAGACCCTGCTCGGACCCTGCCCGGCCCGGGCCGCCCGGGAGGGTACCCGGGCGACCTTCTCCCAGCCGGGCCGCCTGGGGACCAGCCTTGTAAATTCTTTTGCCTTTTTTTGAAGTTTTTTACCCCTTGGAAGAGCGATGGTCGTGACATGTGTCCATGATCGACCAGGCCCAGGTAGGTCAATTATTTCACTTTACCTGTATTTTATTATAATTTAAAGTATTTTGACTATTTTTATTTGTTGTGAAATTTTGTCGTCGCCACAAACAGATCATAGCCTCAACTTGGGCATATGTACCTGAGCGGGGGGAGCAAGGCATCTCTCCATATCAGCTAAGCCAAAATGTCCCCTTTCCGGGAATAAGTGCTGGCATAGGTCTTTAAAGCAGCACCTCTCCACTACAATTGACGGATCTTTCCATTTGAAAGTAACCAAATGAAATGTTTTGCATTCTGCTACCCTTCTTTACAACTCCAGGAGATCGTCATGAACATCGACCTTTCACTGGTGGTCAATTTTTTTATGCGCATTCATTTGTATTGCATCCAGCCACATGTGCGCAGCGACAGAGTTTGGAGGGAGGGCAAGGGAGTATGAGGCAGGGAGCATTGCAAGTGCGTGTGTGTGCGCAAAATAGAACTTGGAAATGAAGGGGGGTGGGGGGGGGGGGGGGGGAGGCATGCAAGTTTGTGTATGCCAAAATAGAACCTGGAAACAAGGGGGAAGGGAGGAAGGCGGGGAGGGGGGAGGAGGAGAGGGGGGTTACAGGAAGAGGAGGGTGAGTGTTAAGAGCCCAAGACTTTATACTGCATGGATAATAAAGGGTATTGGCAAAAGCCAGCGGTACACCGTCGCCTTTGCATTCATCTGGAATCGATAGGCAAAGCTGGGTCCTCATCTCTGTACCTGGTCTGCTTATCAGGGATGATGACAATCCAGTCCCTTACTGGTGCAACTATGTTATGATCCTGGTTGTTTGTTGCCAGAAGACCAACACTCGCTCGCATAGACTTCCAGGTATGCCCATACATACACAGAAGGAAGGGGGGAAGATGGGAGGATCATACAGCACAGAGATATAGAAACACAGCGGAAGACTTAGCGATGCGATATGACAGAGTACACTGAAAGCGCAATTCACTTCACAGAATCCTCACAACCAGTCACAAAGGAAAGCCAAGTAGATCACATCCAGAAAACAACGAAGCAGAGATAGTTCAGACACAGTATCCACATTGTTTATTAAATAAACTCAGAGTCTCGAATTGTCAGAATAACCCCAGAGCTGTGATGCGCTGCTCAGAAATGAGAAGCGCTTCTTCCCCAACCCTGAGTAACCGCTATTACTACCCCTGAGCCCCTGCAACAACCAGGGCCACCCAGATACTGCCTCCTGAGGGAAGCGCCACCCTGAAACAGGCCTCTGAGGCCAAGCGCCTCTCAGAGGATGAAGAAGAAGACCAGCGCCACAGTCTCTGATGATGATGAAGTGCCAGACGACCTCCCGGATGGAAATCTGCAGCAGTGCCACCTCTTCTGACAAGGATGATCTCTGAGAATGAAAGCTGCAGCTATGGCTGCAGCGCCATACACCCTGACACCCTACTCCTGAGGAGGGTTCAGCAGGGCACCAACTTCTCTTGCCTCCAGCAGACTTCAGATAGCCCGGACCTCTGAACAGCCCCACGTGCTGTCAGAGAACGGCGCAGGTCCCAGCTATGGCCGACACTTTGAAGGTCCGGCTATGTCTGTCTCCTCCAATGCTGAAGCTGTACCACCACCAGTTCATGCGTTGCGCAGCAGCAATGTACACGGTACCAACTGCCAAAAGTCCCGAACAGTTTTTCCTAAACCTATTGATAGTCTACCCTAGCCTAGACACGACCTAGACCGGACCGACTGGACTCACGGGTACCGATTTAGTTTGGGCTCCAGGGCCTCTCCCTACCCGGCTATAGGCTATAGGACCGTCTAACAGTATAGGCCCATAGGCCCTTCTGTCCTAGTGGTAGCCCGGGTCTGCTATTCGCAGTTAGGGTAGCTGTAGGAAATTCAGGTTATGTCCCTCACGAATTTCCCCACAGGCAGATGTCTCGGTTAGCCCTCAGCCAAACAAAATAGTGAATCTATCCTATCTATGTTACACCCTCGGGTTGACGGGTTGCAGGCGGCAGAATCAGCAAGTCATTGCAACTACATGGGTACCATCACGTTGCACCCATCACTTGTCTCATTTAGAAATCGGGGAAAAGCAATGATGGGCAATAAGGTGAATCAGATATAAAGAGGAAGTGCGAGCATGAAGGGACACGTGCCGGATGGATGAATTTCAGTGCAGCAACACCGACTTGTGCTCCTATGCCACAGAGTGCCAGGCACAGCTCACTCATGACTGATTTGATCACTTGCAAAAATAAAAGCAGAAGCTAAAAAAATGATACAACAGGGCTGGAATAGACATAATATAGGAAAATGCATGATCTCTCTCTCTCTCTCTCTCTCTCTCTCTCTCTCTCTCTCTCTCTCTCTCTCTCTCTCTCTCTCTCTCTCTCTCTCTCTGTGACATTGCCCTTCTGCTGAAGAAAGGGAAAAGAGGGAACAGATTACGCAGCATGGTTGGTTATGGCGTAGTGTGACAACACTGGACAATCATACAGCTAGAACAGCAGTTCTACCATCCTTTGACGTGAAATGTACACATATTTATAAACTTTATTCACTCTTAAGTTCCAATTGTCATCACACGTTCACAGTTGACGAGAAACTTCACATAACAGTTACTCTGGAAAGAAACCAAGAACTGGGCACCTTGGTCCCCTCAGCAACTTGGCCCTTGTGCAAGGGCCTTGGTTAAAAAAAAAAAAAAAAAGGTCTCCTCAGCAACATGCAACAACCGGCTTGAGAAGCTGTTGTTTGAACAGTGAGATTTCGCTGCCTATGACTGTGCCCAAACCTCCGGTCTTGAGTGCTAAATAGAGCAGTCCTCGGTTCCACCAGCCATCAAAACTACAAGAATGAAAAGCCGAGTGAAACTGTTACATGCTCGTCTTTTTTTTTTTTTTTTTTTTTTTTTTTTTAGGAGCGTCGTTACTTTGTTAATTGCAAAATCCACTTGGACAAGGCTGGGGACTTCCCAATTCAACCCAAAAGACAACTGAGATCATTATGGGACGCTGGACCCGTTTTCCGGCAGGTGCTGCTCCCCACTAATTCATCGGAGCTACCAGGAAGCTCGCGAGAGGGGGATGCTCTTATCACCTCCTCTAGTGGGGCGACTGTTTTTTTAACCAAAAAACAAAAAAAAGATCATTATTCAGCTTAACTCATTCTATATCCTTTAGTCCTCTTTCCTCTCATTACTGCTCAGTTTTGAATGGCGTGTGGGCCTTGTGGCATACTGGGATTATATTCCGGTTCCGAGAAGACAGAAGTGTTGACGATAATTGGCACATTTCACAGAATGGTAGCGAACACATGTGAGGTCGCAGATCTAACCACGGTATTAAAATTGTTTTGTAGGGAACTCGGACTGATGGACTACCCATGGAGAATTACCCGCACGGGGATCTGGGCTTTCATCAGAAACTGCAAGGACACAAGAGTACGGAATATATTCCGTAAGTACCTGGAAGCAGAAGAAACTCCGAACTGGAACTGAAAAGGTAAATAAATAAAATAAACGCGCAAGCTACAAAACCACTAAAAAACGCACACAAAAAATCGAACTAAAAAACAAAAAACAAAAAACAAAAATCTACAGATATAATGATGCAAGAAGGGCCGTATGGATTGCCCAACATAAGCGTAGAAATGAAGCGAATCAAAATCCGCAAGATGTTTCCGGGAGAAATGAGCAATGGAAGTTGAAAGTACTCACCTGAGAAGATAAGGACGAAACCCATGACCGCGTGAAAAACAAAACAAAAGCACGAAACAAAACAAAGCCATGACACAAGTTAGTAACCCACGACGGATATACGACGGAAATACGGCCATAAGGTTAGCCTCTAAATGTATGAGTACGGAATTCCATAAAACA